GTTTAGTCCTCCCCAAGGAAAACAAATTGAGGAAGCACCTAACCATGTGGCTGCCCCGGAATATGTCACTTGCAAGAGCATATCAACAAGTACGTAGGTGGAGGACAAAAACAAACTAGTAGACCAGCTGCCAATGAACTAGATTGAGAAAGACAACACTCCCAACCCATCAAGGAGAGACGAGTCATCCAAAGGAACGAGGGCCTCCTACCAAGGAACCAACACTGTCTTCAAGGAGCCTATCTATCAAGTCCTAAACCAAATCAAAGACAATGAGTATTTTAGGTGGCCAACTAAGATGATAGTAGATCCATCAAAGTAGGACCAAAGGACAATTGACGAAGAATTGCTTGGTGCTCAAGCGCCACCTAAAAGAGTTGGTCAAGCAAGGCCACATATCTTGGTACATTGACAAGGAAAAGACTACCAAGGAGTCAGGAGAGCAACAAATCCAATCAAATCACTAGCCAGATAACAAAATTTTATTTTCTACTTAGTCAACATCGTCTTATTATAAGTCTTTAAAGAAATTTGTTTCTCGTTCTCATTGATTAGTAAAGAGAAGTTTGTTTTTCATAACTCTAAGAGCTTATCTATTTTTTATTATTACAGCCTCTGTGGTTGCACCTCAAGCTAACCTCCAAGGTTGCACCTTCAGCCAAACTCTTTGGTTGCACCTCCAGCCAACCTCCTTAGTTGCACCTAAAGCCAACCTCTTTGGTTGCACCTTTAGTCAACCTCTTTGGTTGCACTTGAAGCCAACCTTCATTGTTGCACCTAAAGCCAACCTCTATGGTTGTACCTCAAGCCAACTTCTATGGTTATACCTTAATCCAACCTCCATGGTTGCACCTCAAGTCAACCTCTGTGGTTGCACCTTAAGCCAACTTCTGTGGTTGCACCTTAAGCGAACCTCTGTGGTTGCACCTCATGACCTGTTTGCCTCCATGCGACCTCTAAGGTTGCCATTCAAGGCTACTTGGTCTCCATGCAACCTCCATAGTTTCCCTTCAGGTTACTTCGACTCTATACAACCTCTAAGGTTGCCCTCTAAGTTGCTTTGCCTTTAACCGACACTCCTTTAAGTTACTCTGCCTTCGACCGACGCTAGCAACTTCTACAATTGCAGCGATCTACTTAACCTTTCTTAAGAATTTTCCAACTCTGAGTATCATACACCTTAACTCGTGGCGACCTTCTCCCTTTGGTCAGAACAGGGGGCACAAGTGTTAGAAGACTGTCCACCAAAGAATTTCTCCATGATCTTAGGGATCACGAACTCACTCGCAAACTATGAAGTGTCCTCCCAAAATGGATACAACCCATCAATCCCGACTTGACTCTAGAGCAACTCTTATCACTCAACTAGCTCATAAACAAAGTAAGTCAGNTCCATGCAACCTCCATAGTTTCCCTTCAGGTTACTTCGACTCTATACAACCTCTAAGGTTGCCCTCTAAGTTGCTCTGCCTTTAACCAACACTCCTTTAAGTTACTCTGCCTTCGACCGACGCTAGCAACTTCTACAATTGCAGCGATCTACTTAACCTTTCTTAAGAATTTTCCAACTCTGAGTATCATACACCTTAACTCGTGGCGACCTTCTCCCTTTGGTCAGAACAGGGGGCACAAGTGTTAGAAGACTGTCCACCAAAGAATTTCTCCATGATCTTAGGGATCACGAACTCACTCGCAAACTATGAAGCGTCCTCCCAAAATGGATACAACCCATCAATCCCGACTTGACTCTAGAGCAACTCTTATCACTCAACTAGCTCATAAACAAAGTAAGTCAGACCTTTGTACAAGCAACAATGAATGATTATCATGTCCCTCTATCAGCTAAGCTTCAACCTATGAACCAAGTGAAGGAACACAAAGGGAGATGAGTAAAGAGGAGAAGAGAGAGAAGAAACTTAAATCCCTAATCCGTTAGGCAATAAAGGCCCAAAAAACATACCTCAATTAATTTCATTCCTTAAATGAGGTATGGGGGGCAATTGTGGAAACCAAACGCACTTTCTAATTGCTACTGCCAGTCGATAGTATCAAGGCTTAGCTACTACTTTCTAACTGTTAATACCGATTGGCAGTAGCAAAGCCTAGCTGCTACTACCTAGGCTCTACTGCCAATCGCCACTAGTCAAATGGGGGTCCTTGCACGAGCCTACTCACAACCACTAAGTCTCAACTACTCAGCTAAGGTCCAACCAAGGACTTAGAGTCCTAGTCCATCATACTACGAGTATNCAGTATCAAGGCTTAGCTACTACTTTCTAACTGTTAATACCGATTGGCAGTAGCAAAGCCTAGCTGCTGCTACCTAGGCTCTACTGCCAATCGCCACTAGTCAAATGGGGGTCCTTGCACGAGCCTACTCACAACCACTAAGTCTCAACTACTCAGCTAAGGTCCAACCAAGGACTTAGAGTCCTAGTCCATCATACTACGAGTATCAAGGGACTAGTGATAAGCCTAACAATGCCTCCTGGTGAGCATATGTATTCCTTCAATCTAGGACCTAGTATCTTAGTGCAATTCTACCTCGAATAAGCAGAACCTGGAGATAAGGATCTGGGACAAATAGTCCTAATTTAACTCTACTCTGTGCAACTATGGCCTAGTTACAAGGTTGAGTCAATCAACTAAGAGTTTAGATTCTTTTGGGATACAATTCCCTATTGCTATAAATAAAGGCCTCTGAGTACCAAGTAGATCATTCAATCTGAGCCTATTCACTATATACTTCTCTCTGACTTGGAATCTGACTTAAGTATTAGAGTCTCTTTGGCCGCCTCTAGCCATCGCTTCACATAGGTGTTTTCTTGTCTTGTAGGTTCACTGAAACTTCTCCACCTCCCTCTCCGTTCGTATAAGGTGGTGACCCTTTGTGTGGATTTATCCCCGCACAAACTTTATCATATTAACTATTTGCATAGTGCTCATGAAAGATAATCATTGCTTGTGTTGGATTTTAAGAATGATACTTTGCAAGAATGACAGCATCAAATCAAGTGAAACCATGAGATCTGGGTAAGAACAGGAGAAAATGGACTACCGATGAGGATGCTAAAATGGTTTAGACCTTTTTGGAACTAGTTAACTCTGAAACTCATAAGGTTGATAATGAGTTTAAATCTGAATATTTAAATGTCATAGGGCAATTTTGTACACATTTTGCAGGTTGATCATAACCAATTTGTATGTTAAAATAGTTTATGGGGCAACTATTTGCCATGGTTCATCAAAATTCTATTTGGTTAGTATTTAGAAGGACATCACATACCACTCCTTGTGCATCCAAAATAGTTGTACTATGATCAATGTGATTTTTTTTTGTTGAGATAGGATTGACTGGGAACTTATTCATACAGGTCCTCTCAAACAAGTTTGTTTCTTGTTAATAAAGCCAATGTTACAGAAGCACATGCCCCAAATGATTTATGAAGATTTGATGAAGTTACTAGATTTTTCCAAGAATGAGAGGCACATAGCGTCAAGTATGCTAGCTCATGACTCTGACTGGTCTTTTTTTTTATTATCCCTGATGTTGAAAAAGCTAAATTTATTAAAGAAATATTAAGGGGTGATTTCTGAACATGTTCGTTAAGATGGAGAATTTATTAGTACTATGTAGGAAGATATATTGACATGTGTATCTTTTTTTAGTCTATGGAACAATATAAATGAAGGATTATATACAACATTGATGAAAAAGTATCGCATTTCTACTGGTTTTTATTTGTTATTTGTTATTAATTTTTATTATTCTTTCGGTGAATTTTTTTGTTATGTGATTTTTTTTTTGACTTTATTTACAACACATGTAATCTGATTTATCAAGTTTTAAACTTAAAATTACTCATTGTAATGGACAATATTATTAAGTCAGAAATTCTATGATACAAAAATTTATTTTGGTTAAATTTCATTCCAATTAAAATTATTTTATCCAAACCTTAGGATGGAATGTACATTCCATTCCAAGAAATCAACCCAATTAATTGCCAAACATTAGCATTGTAATACACATTCCATTCCTTTATCCATTTCATTGCTACTTAAAGGCATTACTACTTATCAAACATAGCGCAAAAGTTTCTTACACCAAAAGTTTCTTCCCTATTGGTTTAAATAAGAGTATGGATAGATAAGTTCTACCTCCCTTTCAAAAGATATTCTTACGCTACATTTAGTACGCAATAATACTTTTACAAGGGAATAGAATCACAATAGAAATGAAATGTTTATTATCATTCTAATGTTTAACAACTAGATTTAAGTGCTAGAATATAATTAGGAATGAAACATCACCAAACATTGGGAAATGACAAATCCTATGGTGATGGGATTAGACATTCCATGGAAACGAGAATGAATTTTTATTACTACATACCAACCATTGGAGTGAGCATTACTTAGTAATGTTCATTCCATTCTCATGCTTCATTATCACCTTACAAACACAGTCGGTGACATTGCCAAAGTCATCTATGCACCAAGTGACCATGCACCCCACTTCCATTGCAACATTTTTAACTGAATCTTCTCTTCTTTTTTTTTCTCAAATATTCTTTTTTGGACTGTACAATATATCATTGTAAAAATATATCAAGAGGGATTTAGAAGTCAATTCCACCGGACTTCTTAGTCAACCCCCCAACTATAATCTTTTATCAACCAGAAATGTAAACCAATGTGAACACAGATCAAATCAAGGGTAATGACCATTCCTGTGACACATCATACAGGGAAGACAATAGAGCAATTCTTTCTGGAAACTAGTTGCTTCTTCACTCATATCCAATCCTTTTCTGTTGGCACAATGATTGGTACCAATCGTAGGATCATGAAAATGGAAAGCCGCAAGTGTCTGCCAAAGGACCAGAAGCTTCTCTTCAAAAGCATGCTTCTAGAGTATTTAAGAGCACATTCTGGGGAACATTTTGACAGAATTCCTGCTTTTTGGGAATTCGGACAGCTCCATCTACTCACTTCAACTACTGCGCAACAGTCTGGCTCTCAACTGCAGAAGATGAGGCCCTTCTCGTTAGAGCATGAAGGAGAGATTGAGTAGCGATTAACTTCTCCCTCAGCATGACATTGTATTCATAGAGACTTTGGAGATGTTTCTGGAGATCAGCCATTCTGATTTCAGAATCGGCCTTAAATTCTGCAAAATCAAAGAACGAAGTCAACTGTACAGAGACATATACTAATCAAGCCCCAAATATCCCTTTCACCAAATGTAGGAGGCCAGCCAAGGAGAGGATTGCCCAAAGGGACAAACTACAACGGTTACAGCAATATTGTTTACACGCATATACCTGAGATAATATGATGCACATAGGATGAGCGAACGATATTTAAAGAGCAACAGCAGTAGGAGGCAATATTCAATGCTTAAAGAAAACTGAAGAACTTCATAGCACTCAACATACTTCAGGGCAAGCAAAGACATCTCACCTATTGCCCAATTGTTTGCATTAGCTAGCGCATAAAAACATACTTCCCCTTGCCATTATAACATCTGTGTACCACTTTAGCTCTCTATGGACAACAAAGATAATAGTAGAAAAACAGCTCATATCACTAGCGAAATATTGTGTATGATCAGAAAGAGAATCTTGTCCTATTGTGTGCCTCGATCAGCTAAAACATCATGGACAATTTTCACACAAAGCAATGTGTACAAAGTACAACATATCCCCCCCACCCCCACCCCAACAACAGCAAACGAAAATTAACATAACAAATAAAACCCAGAAAAATAGACTGAAAACTAAATTCAGAGGTCTAAGTTTCCCTGTAGCTTTGTTGTGCTCTTCTTGATGCCAAACCATTGGGTTTTTCCCTGTTTTATTTCTCTTTCTTAATTCTTTTCTTTATGATTCATAAGAAGGGAAAGATAAAAGTATTTGTTGTCAAAAAGACAAAATATTGGTTTTGTCAAACTTGTGTATAATCCTAGATACCCATAAAGAGAGGTTTATTAAGAGTGTAATTATATTTATTTATCATCAAGGGTGGTCAAGTCTTTTCTTTATTGTAGGGTTCCTTATATATCATCTCTTGTACTCACTTTTCATTATTATGAATATTAGAAGGCCACATATGTTTTTTCTATTCTTTTATCCTCTCTCTACGTGTGAACTCTTTTCTTTATACTAGTTGATCTATGTTTTCATGGTATCAAAGTAAGGTTTCTTCTCTCTTCCTTGGTTTTTAGTTGAAATTAGCATAAAGTACATGAACAGTGTTTCCTGGACAGTGAACCATGTGTGTGAACAGTATTTTGTTAAGGTGCATGCAGCTAGGGTTTCGGTTAGATGTTCTGAAATTACAGAACCTGCCCCAGGATATTCTGAAATTACAGAAACAGCCCCTAAATTTTCAGAAATTACAGAAACAGGCTCAGAAAAAATTACAGAATCAGCTCCCTAATTTCCTACATTTTCAGCATCAACCCCTAATTTTTAAGTTACTTTAATTCTTGATTAAGATTGGCCTCTGTCATTATACATATGATTATGACAAGTGGGAATTCAACAATTAAATCATATGTGGATGCTTTATATCTCGTTCCACTTGGGTATTTGATTCTAGTGCAACACATCACATGACTATGATCTATCTTTATTTCTTTCTATTTCATCTCTTCCCTCCTCTACTACTGTTATGGCAGCTAATGGTACTCCAATGTCATTGATTGACATTGGATCTATTATGACTTCATTTTTATCTCTTTCTGACGTTTATTTTATTCCTCAATTATCTTTGAACTTAATTTTTGTTAGTCAACTATGTGATCTTGGTCTCATTGTTCATTTTTTTCTCCAGTGGTTGTATCGTGCAAGAAACTGATTGTTACAAGATGTAGAGTTGGAGGACCGTATGTACTAGAAAAATTGCATGTTCCAGTTGTGGCTGCTTCTTCTGTTGATTTGTCTTCTTTTCATATAAATCCTAACTCCTCTGAGTTTTATTTATGGCATTCTCATCTTTGGCACATTTCTAGTTCTCGTTTGAAATTTTTAGTTTCTACTGGTGCATTAAGTGATTTAAATAGTCATAACATTTCTAATTGTAGTGGTTGCAAACTTGTTAAATTCACAGCTTTACCTTTTAAGAATAGTTCTACTTCTTCTTCTGCTTCTTTTGATCTTGTGCATTCTGGTGTGTGGGGTCCTACCCTTATTGCGACAAAAGAGGGGTCTCGATATTATGTTTCTTTTATTGATGATTATACTTGTTATTGTTGAATTTATATCATGAAACAACAATCTGAATTTTTCTTTATTTTTTCTTCTTTTCGTGTCATGATTTACGCACAATCATAGTTATTAAATCGTGTATCGGAAGCTGTATCATTTTTTAAAAATAATATATCGTATCATGTATCGTAAGATATGGTGTAATTTTAAATAAATAATAAAAAAATATATATACCTTTGAAAAAAAATTATACTCATAAAAATATAGCATATCATTAATACTCCACCACCTATTCAAGTCATCAACATAGTTCACTAATATTATAATGCAAAGTTTACAACCATAGTTCACTAATTCAAACTTCAAACACTAAAGAGACTTTTAATCCAAATTTCTAACATCCATTTTGAACTCAATCCATAAAATTAATCAAGATTCAAAAATTTTTATACAAAAAAAAAATAAAATTAGTGTCTTATTTAGACAAAACGACGTCATTTCATCAGTGACGAAGATAAAATTAGTGTCTTATTTAGACAAAATGACGTTTTAGGAAAAAAAAATAGATTTTAAGCGTATCAGTCGTACCGATACGTATCGTATCGTAAAAACATATCGTGTATCGAACGATACGACGCAAAAACGATACATAATTACGATCTTTATCGTTTTACCTCTGTATCGTAACGTATCGTACGATACGTATCACGTATCGTACGATACTAACAACTATGCACACAATATTCTTCAATTATTAAATGTTTCTTTGCAATTTGGGTGAAAAATATAGACACAATCATTTTCTTAACTTATTGAAATCAGATAGTACTATTCAGCAGTCCTCTTGTGCAAAGACTCCTGAGCAGAATGGTGTGGTTGAGCAAAAATACAAACACATAATGGAGACTGCTCGTTCATTGCTCCTATCTGCATCAGTTCCCACTTCCTTTTGGGGAGAGGCTGTTCTCACTACTGTTCATGTCATTAATTAGATTCCCTCTATTTTCATTTATAATGTTTCACCTTTTGAGCGGTTATGTGGTAAATCTCCCGACTATTTTTATTTAAGTGTCTTTGGTTGTACTTGTTTTACACCAAAGTTACCAGAATTCACTAAATCGCTGACAACTCATGATCTGAGTATATCGATCCCAAACAAGGTGGATTCGCGATTCAGATCACCGACATGTACGATCTCAAATTATACACGTAGCACAAATATAAAATATATATTAATTAATTACGTGTATATAGATTTATAATTATATATTATTTTAAATAATAAAAATTAAGTATAAATATAAGATAAATGGTAACTAACTTGGTGTTTATGGATGGTCTATAATATATAATTTTGTATAGTGGTAACAACGATTTAAATAAGTGTTCTAAAACAAATTACGACCCAAAATACCGTACCAGCTAAGTCTACCCTCATCGTACCACGTAGCTAAGAAAGTGTCTTACTGCGTACTTGCACCCCTATCACATATCAAAGCAAACCATGATCGAGGTAACATTGTTTTACACTACTTCTAAAAGCTGAACGCAATAAGTTATCTGCTTATTCGATTATGTGTATCTTTCTTAGTTATGGTGAGAAACAAAAAGGATATTTTGTTATGATCCTATTGCCAAAAGATTGTATGTTTATAGGAATGTTGTTTTTCCTGAGCATATTCCTTTTTTCTCCATTGTTTCTATTTCTGACTCTTTCAATGGNAAAACAAAAAGGATATTTTGTTATGATCCTATTGCCAAAAGATTGTATGTTTATAGGCATGTTGTTTTCCTGAGCATATTCCTTTTTTCTCCATTGTTTCTATTTCTGACTCTTTCAATGGATCTGAATTTATATATATTGACCCCTTCCCTAATGATATTTTTAGTGATTCTAATAATCATGCCATGCTCACATTTGATACTCGTTCTTCGTCTCGGTCTTCTGTTTCGTCTCATTCTCCAACGATGCCCCCTCCTATTATTAACACACTCACAAGAACAATACTAACTCACATGCTGATATAGCTCCTTTACCTCTTTCAACTACATCTCCGTCAGCCAGTGATGATATGGATCCTTCCTCTTCTTGCTATCCTATGTGCATTCGTAAGTGTCCTGTTCGCTTTGGTTTTTCTAACAGTTGTTTTTCTTCCAATTTTTGTTCATTTTTATCTTCCATTCATTGTTTGTCTGAGCTTACCTCCTATAAAGATGCTACTCTTGATCCTCTTTGACATCAAAGTATCAATGAGTAATTTTTCACACTACATAAAACTGGGACATGAGATCTTGTGCATTTACCTACTGGTGAGCATACTATTGGTTGTCGGCGGGTATACAAGATTAAAAACAAAGCGGATGGTTCTATTGAAAGATATAATGCCAAATTGGTTGCTAAGAGTTTTGCATAGGAATAAGATATTGATTATGAGGAGACATTTGCTCGTTGCAAAGATAACTATTGTTCATACTTTTATTGTTGTAGCAACTATTCAGCAATGCAAACTCTCTCAGATGGATGTCAAGAATGCATTTTTGAATGGTAAATTGGCATAAAAGGATTATATTATTACTCCTGGTCTTCCCTCACATTTCAGGTGAGGTATGTAAACTCAAAAAAGTTTTGTATGGTCTTAAACAGGCTCCTCGAGCTACAGTTGAGAAGTTCTCTATTATGATCTTTAGCTTGGGTTTTCATTCAAAGGATTATGATTCTGCTCTTTTCCTTCGTTCTACTTCTGCTAGTCAGATTGTTATCCTCTTATACGTTGATGATATGATTATTATCGGGAATGATTTCGAGGACATTTCAATCTTGAAGGCTCAGTTACAACACAGTTTAAGTTGAAGGATCTTAGTCCCCTTCAATATTTTTTGGACATTAAAATAACTTCATCCTCGAAGGGTTTTCTTCTTTCTCATACAGCTGATGTTTTCCACAGGGCCCGTTTAACAGATTATCAGACTATTAAGACTCCTCTCGAGCTTAATGTGCACTACACTTCTACTGATTGGATTCCTTTGCTGATGCTACCTTGTATCAAGTTCTTGTCGGCAATCTAGTCTATCTCACAATTGCACGACCTGAGATAGCATATGTCGTTCATATTGTGAGTCAATTTATCTCTTCTCCAACTACAATGCACTGGACTATAGTTCTTCGCATTTTACGCTATCTTAGAGACACTTTACATCAAAGTTTGTTGTTTTCTTCCACTTCTGCTAGGGAGCTTTGTGCTTTTTCTGATGCTGATTGGGTAGGGTGATGTCATGGATCGTAAATCTACCACTAATTTTTGTGTCTTTTTCAGTAATTCTTTTATTTCCTAAAAGAGCAAGAAGCAGACTGTTGCCACTCGTACTGCTAAGGCAGACTATCGTACTATGGCTATTTCTACATCGGAGATAGCTTGGTTAAGATGGTTGCTTACCGATCTAAGTTTTTCTTTTTCTGGTCACACTCCTATGAATTGTGACAACAAAAGTGTCATTCAGATTGCCCATAACTCAATTTTTCATGAGCGAACCAAGCATATTGATATTAACTGTCACTTTGTGCGTCACCATGTTCAACTTGGGACTATTTCCTTGTCTTTTGTTTCTTCCACTATGCAATTAGTTGAATTATTCACGAAGTCTCATACCATGCTGCATTTTCGTTTTCTTCTTGGCAAACTCTCAATGCTGCCTACCATCACATCATGAGTTTGAAAGAGGGTGTTAACAATGTAATTATATTTATTTATCATTAAGGATAGTCTAGTCTTTTTCCTTATTGTAGGGTTCCTTATATATTGTCTTTTGTACTCACTTTTCATTATTATGAATATTAGAGGGCCGCATATTTTTTTTCTCTTCTTTTATCCTCTATGTGTGAACTATTTTCTTTGTACTAGTTGATCTATATTTTCAAGGACAAAATCCTAAAACACATGTTAGGCGAATTACAAAATTGACGATATGTACAGACATGTTGTGATAGATAATTAGCGCAATAATCAGACGAGACAAGTGTGTGAAAGGATTGAAAGACAAGCATGAAGGCCGATAAATTAATGAAGGGCTACACTCCTATAAACATTAAAGTCAGCTAACTGACACAAAGACACAATCATGAGATGCATTTTAAAGCTTTGTGGTACTGAATTGAGTTTATCATTTTTTTTCTGGTTTACTTCTAGTGTGTTTGTATATTTCTTTTTGGGTCCTTTCATGATTGATTAATAGAATAACAAAAGTAACAAAGTACATCATAATTAGAAAATAGCTCACTGCATTTAGTAATCTTTGTTTTTTAGGCAGCTACACCTCTCTTTCAACGTGCTAAAAACAATCTCTGCAACCAAGTTTGCATCATCCTTTGTATAAGACAAAGGCAGTTAAAACCATAAATGAAAAAAGCTGGTCACCTCAGTTTCTGAGAATCTGAACAAATATTCTACACCATCACCTTCTCCGATAATATTTAAAAAAAAGAATGACACCTATAGAGGGAATACAAAGTCACTCCGTTAACTTGATTGTTTTCATGGGAAGGCATGCATTAAGAGAGGAAACACCCAACAAAAATTTATCCTATCATAACTTTTTTTGTTTCACTGTTAACTAGACATGTGAAAAGCTAGAGAAAGACAAAAGTAAGGAAAATAGCTGGATTTTTATAATTTAATTACCTAATGAAGGAGGTGGTGGAAGAGTGAAATCATCGGCAGCAAGAGATGCTCGAGCCTGACAGACATCTCCATTATGCAACACAACAGTATGTTCCTGTTTTCCATCTTTCGCATCAAAAAAATTTTTGCTTTCCCAAACCTGGACATCACAAGAGTGGAAGTACTGAATCTCTGAGGCCTGAGGTCTGAGCTTCTGAACGCAAAAACCACTTTCTCAATCATTGAAATGATTTCTAAGGAAAAATAATAACCTGGCTTAATTATAGAATATGAGAGTCAGATATGGAGAAAATGTGACAGAAATGCTTGATAGAAAAGGTTCTAATCTGCTATTCTATTTCTTCTCCTCTTTTTCTTCTTCTGTGATGGAGCTGAAGCTGCTTTTGTGGAAACTCTCTTTTGCTGGCTGATGGCTCAAAGATCACTGTTGGCCAAACTGTGTTTTTCTTCTTTTTTTTTTGTTGGAACTCCCTCTTTTTTTTATTATTTTTTTGCTGTTTTTATAGCCTGGGTTGTATGGTTTCTGGTTTTCTGTGTTTGCTTTTACTTTACCCTTCATTATATTCTGAATCCCAGATCACATTATTCTTTTATTTTGACATTTTATGTGTTTATATTTTTATGATTTATGACTTTGTTTTATATAGCGACCAACTCTGTTTATGATATGTTTTTTTTTTTTTTGCTGGAATACTGTTTTATAATTAGTGCTTATTTGGATTTAAATGTTTATGCATTTGGTAGTATTTGAATATTTCGTATATGAGAACTTGAAACTTAAATATTTAGAAGTAATTAAGCAAAAATATTTGCTTGGTTTTTAAACTATTCGGTTCGCTTCAAGAGACTTGAGCGCTTCAATTCACTTTACGCTTTAAATAACACTATTAAACATATACCCAGCAAATGCAGCATTCACAACCAATTTAGAATCAAACATCTACCAAACATATGTCTTGAAAGGACAACATGCCAGGTAAACGTCAGATTAAATGTTTTATAAAATATTTCCTACCTAAGCCATAGAAAATCTCCTTTTTCCCCTTTCCCTTCAATTTTTTCTTGTGGTTTGGAGGGGGAAACTGGAAAAATAATTTTAGAGAAAAGCAAAGAATTAAAGTCCAAAAGTTTCTACCATATAATATTCCCCTCAAATCTGAAATCTGGTAGCAAAAAAAATATTATTTTTTTTAATTTTTAATTTTTTTTTTTGTGGAGGGAGGGGGAGAGGGAGAGAGGGACTAGAACTCTTGACCTCAAGGAGGCAAAAAATTTGGCATGGTGATTCTATGCACAGAAAACAGGGATGTCCTGTTAAGACCCCTTACCTTGTAACTAGATATCACTCCACTTCCAAGCCTTGAGCATGCAAAAAACATGGGAAAGCAAGAGAGCAGGACCACTCAGATAAAAGACAGATACCCAAACAATCCAAGCATGATTTCTTGCAGTAGAAGCTTTCATCAGTATCAACCATTGACTTACAGTCCCACACACAACTCCCTCCCTTCGACCCCTACTTAAAAACCCATTTTTTTTGTTTTTTTTTTTTTTTAAAAAACCCTAAAGCATTCTGAATGGGAAACATGTAGTGACCAAATTCTTGCTTATTATTAGAAGAAAATGAATAATTAGAATACAGAGGTTAAGGATAGACAATTACATATTGAACCCAATTGCAAAAACGGATATTACCAAGCGTTGGTCCCGCCCTGCAATGGCCTTTCAAAATACAAAAGCAGAAAAGACGCACACAAAAACCAAGAGTAGCTGTTCAGATAAAAATAATAGTGATGAATATTCATAAAACAGTCTTATTATCAAAAATGATAATAACAAAAAGCAGATTAAGAAAACAACTCACTGGTTCACCCGTTGAACATGACAAACTCCCTTCCAAATTTGATGCAGATTTAGCTAAACAATGGTTGATCCTTCCATTGTGGATACACTCTGGAGTAGCTTTCTGTGAACAATAGAATCCATTCATCCAAATCAGAATAGCCAACTAATTTCAGAGGAGCAACATCAGTTCAATAATATGCGTATACTAGCGATGTCGTAGGATGAATACTAGATCATTACCTTCTCACTAGGTAAGTTGACTTTTCTGATAAAATGGATATCATCCATTCTTTTTTGTTTCCTTTGCTTGAATGATGACCCATTACTATGGAATGAGTTAATCATGACACCAGAGCAAGATGCCCCTTTTATTGCGTTGCTGTAATCGTCATCCACTGAACTACAACCCCACGTGTACCTGACATACTTCCTCAACTAATTGAAACATGAAACAATAACAGTCAGTTCAACAACTCTGAGCAAGAATAAAACAGCTCAATCAAACAATAGAAGATACAAAATGGTCTCCCAAAAGAGTACTTACTTTATCCCAGCGTTCTTGAGCTTTTCGTCGGTTTCTAATTTTTCGCATTATATTATCCTCATTACGAAGCTTCTTGATTCTGTACTCGCACTATGAACAAGTGAAGTAAGGAGAATCATGAAAACACTTGGAGAATTAAAAGAAAATGATATATAGCACGATAGATGCTTATGATTAGCTACTCGTTTTGCAAAGATAACTAAGAAGGAACTTGAACGTAATCATAGCTTCTCATGTAAGACATGGATAGAAGACAGTGAAAAAAAAAACAGGGCATATATAGCATTACCCCAAATTAAAATAGCTCTTTTCAGTCATTTAGGACTGAATCTTCCTCACAATAGAATGAACACTATGCCAATTTTACTACAAAAATGTTAAAGCATATTTTGTTCTTTGCACATCCATATTTTGTCTTTCCCTTTTTTTGGTCATTCATAGAGAGAGAGAGAGAGAGAGAGAGAGGGTATAAGAATCCAGTGGAACTTCTGTCAAGACCAGATTTTCAAGTCATCCATACATTAAACAAGTTCCAACTAAAAATTGATGTCAAAAGGAAATGACATGGTCAAAAAAATATGCCCACTATGACTAGGTAGTTTACATGGAAGGGAAAAGCTGTGCTTCCTCAATAACTGGAGAAAACATTATCAGGTTCTTCCATTTAGTTTCTTTTTATCTTGTAAAGATTCACACATTATTTCTTAACATAATTATTCTGTGGAACAAATTAGCCCTTGCATGCACATAATATGACCTCTAGTATTTACTCATCAAGAATGATAACCAATTATATACTGACCTAAAAGAAAGTTTACCTTGAAACATAAATTTCAAGAACTTATCAAAATGGGGGAAACACAGAAGAGAAGATGAAACTTGGACAGGAAAAGAAACATACTTGCACCAAGAAGTAGAAAAAAATTCCCAAGCTAAAACAATAAAGACCACCCAGATCTGCAAGAAAGCTCACTGCACACTTAGGAAAAGAAGCATTAGATTAATAATTGAAGCAAAATAACCTTAGAAAAATAACCTTACCTATGAATCAAATTTACATCAGAAACTGCATTTCTGCACACAGTCATTTCTAAACATGAAAAGTCAAAGTGGTAATCAGTATGGTTAGGTTTAACCCACGATGGATTGCCGCAAAGTAGCATGTGGTTCAGGTAGTTCCAGAAAAAAGAAAATCCGCAAAACAAAACAAAATAAAATTCTAATGCAAAACAAAACAAAATAAAATTCTAAGGCAAATTTTGTTTTTAATTAAACATTGGTTGTTTCTGTACGCAATCTACCAAATAAGTGAATGTTCACTATTAGATGCCCACTTAGAAGCGAAGTTTATGACTTGTCAAAATGAGATTGGCCAACTCAAACTAGCAATTGGGTCCAACACCATAATACTTAGCAAAGGTTCATAAACAAAAAGTGGAAGCAACTTAAAATTGAAGCAAATAAAGGCTAGCTCAAGCATTACTTGTATTACCCATTTTAGATTTTAAATTCAAGCTAATACAAGATCGTGAATTGAATGGATTATAAGCTAATAGATCTTGACTACAATCCCCAAAACATAGAATTTCTTACGTACTCTTACAAGCTCCTAGAATCAAAGTTAGTTGAACAAATTCATAAAAAAAAAACTATGAACTTCAAAGAGATAACATAACTTTTTCTTAAAAGGTAAAATGATGCTAAAAGGTGGAGCCCCAAGGAAATTTTTCAGTAAATAAACAACTCACAGGGAAAAAAAAAACAAAAAGGTCACTGGATATGTATTGAAAAATTCATCTAGGTTTTCAACAAAATTCCAATAGTCATCTTCTAATAAATTTTTGTTCAAATAGGTTGCAAATTAGATAAACATCTCACAACAAATGAAAGAGATAACATAACTTTTTCTTAAAAGGTAAAATGATGCCAAAAGGTGGAGCCCCAAGGAAATTTTCCAGTAAATAAACAACTCAGAAACAGGGAAAAAAAAAACAAAAAGGTCACTGGATATGTATTGAAAAATTCATCTAGGTTTCCAACAAAATTCCAATAGTCATCTTCTAATAAATTTTTGTCCAAAATAGGTTGTAAATTAGATAAACATCTCACAACAAATGACGAAAAGGTTAGATCTCAAAGCTCTCTTATATTTATTCTTATTCCTCCATTTTTAAATGCCATTATGAAATGATTATGAGCAAATAATAAGATAAGGAAAAAAAGGATACGAAGACTAGAGAAAGTTACTATAATATAGTTAGGGTTTAGGTTTATTGTAATATGTATACCACACAAAGGGTATACTCGTCTTTTACTTCTTTGTTCAGTATCTAAAAATACAACATTAATAGTAAGAATAGGGTAAACCAAAATCTCTCTTTTCACCTCTCTCATATTGTGTTAAGCTTCTCTCTAAACATGGTATCAGAGCAATTAGGTCTAATCTTCTATTAATCTTTTTCTTTTTCTCTTTTCTTTTTTATCTTCCTTTCTTTTCTTCTTTACTTTCTCTCTGTTTCGCACCTTCACCAAGTCTCTATTGGTGTTGAATGGGTCTGCACTAAAACTGTGCATTACCAAAGGTGTGGCTTTAGATTAAAATCAATGATGGTTTCGGTAATATTTTGTTGAGTTGATCTTGATATTGGTGTTGTTTATGGTAGCGATGATGGTATTGATGAGTTGATTTCGTTGTTCACCATTGGTTGATTCTCGTCACTAGTTGGTGACGTGAACTCTACGTTGATTACTGCCTGTGTGGTGGTGGTAGTCATCGGTTGTTGTCGCATATAGTGCCGTGGGTAGTGGTTGTGTCGAGTCCATTACATGAGGCGACCTGTTGGAGGCCAGGGTTTGCTCGCAGAACGCTTTTGGGAAGAAGGTGAACAATAAGGAGTTGGGTCTGGTCATATCTTTGGTGGTGTGGGCTCGGGTCAATTCTAAAAGAGCATAAGTCCTTTGGCCCCAGTACCCAGTCCACGTCCTTTGGCAGCCCAGTCCTAACACAGTCAGTTCAAGCCAGTTTAAGCCAATTCAAGCCAGTTCAAGTCCAGTTCGTCACGGTTCAACACTGGTTCAAGCCAATCTTAAGCTGGTACGGATCAATGTTACATGGCCTACCCTCGCTTAGGTCTGATTAAGCCTGTTTCATCATTGTTCGCCACAGTTTCTACTTTTTATTGGCCAGGTCTAAATTTTGAACAGTTCAGGTCCGGTTTATTACTATCCGTGCTCATACTAACTGGTTCGGTTCCAGTTCAGTATCGTCTAGGCCTTATTCCACTGGTTCTACTCCGGTTCACCACTTCTCCGGTCGGTTCAACTCAAGTTCAGCACTGTCCAGCATTGTTTAATTCTCTTGGGTATGATCAGTGGGAATAGGAAGATACTCAGATTATCTCCTTATAATTAAATAGTATTGAGGCTAGCATTAGCTCCACTTAACTTTATCTTGACAGGGCTAAAGAAAATTGGAATCACTTGGCCATTATGTATTCGGGCACAGATAATTTTACTCGTGCATATGAGGTGTGTCAACAGTACTTTCGTTTAGACCAAAACAATCTGAGCCTTGCAGATTATTATTCCCATGTCACAGGAATTTGTGAAGAATTGGAACTTTACCACCAATTTACCACTAATGCTACAGCGTGGCATAAACAGCATTAATATATAAATGTTGTTTGTTTTATGACGAGTTTAAAACCTAAATATGAGGCTATTTGTTCTCAGACTTTACGTAGTTCTATCCTCCCATCTCTGCTTGAGATTTTCTCTCGTTTACAACGTGTTACACTGCCTACCAGGACTTCTGGTGTTGACCACAGTTTACCTCATGACCACTCAGCACTTGTTGTTCCTANCTGACGAGTTTAAAACCTAAATATGAGGCTATTTGTTCTCAAACTTTACGTAGTTCTATCCTCCCATCTCTGCTTGAGATTTTCTCTCGTTTACAACGTGTTACACTGCCTACCTGGACTTCTGGTGTTGACCACAGTTTACCTCATGACCACTCAGCACTTGTTGTTCCTACTGGCCATAATGATAGTTCTCGCAGTGGTCGTGGCAACCGTGGTGGTCTTGGGGGATGGGGAGGCCGTACTAGAGGTCATGGTGGTCGATCTGGTTCTCTTGTGTGCACTCATTGTGATCGTGGACACACCGTTTATTATTGTTGAAATTTACATAACGAGCCATCGAGTGTTGCAAATCAGGCCTCTTATTAAGATGATACTTCCTCCTTATCACGTCCAGCTCCACCGGACGCTAGGTCTGTAATACTTACCCATGAGGAATATGTTCAGCTCCTGTCCCAATAGCAGGTTGTTTCATCCACCTCCACTACTACGTTTCCTGGTCAGGTACTGCTTTCACTTGTTTATTGTCTTCTACTCCTAATCCTTGAATCATAAACACCGGAGCCTCTGACCATATGACCGGTTCGTCTGGTATATTTTCTACTTATCAGGTTGTTAATTCCCCATAGTGTTACTCTTGCTAATAACACTTCTTCTAAAGTTTCAGATTTGGGAATTACTCAATTCAATATTGATATATCTTTATCATCAATGTTATTTGTTCCCCAATTTTCCTTTAGTTTACTTTCCATGAGGAAGATTACACACTCTCTTTATTGTTCGGTAACTTTTTTCCCTTCCTACTGTGTATTTCAGGATTTTCAAACGACAAAAAAGATTGGTACGGGACATGAAGTTGGTGGTCTCCATCATCTTGACATTGACACATCTCGGGCATTTCAGACCTTGTCATCTCCCTTTTAGTGGCACTGTTGACTTGGTCATCCTTTGCTCCGGAATCTGAAACACCAAGTTCCTAGTCTTAGTCATGTATCATCTGTGTCTTATGAAGCTTGTCAACTTAGTAAGCATCACCGTATTTCCTTTCAGTCTAAAGTCAATAACCGTGTATCGAGTCCATTTGCTTTGATTCATTCTGATGTATGAAGCCCAATAAAGAATATTTTATCTAATAAATTTTCTTATTTTGTGTCATTTGTAAATGATTATTCTCGTATGACTTGATTATTTCTTATGAAAACCCGTTCTAAGTTATACTCTATATTTGAGACCTTTCGTGAAGAAGTAAAAATACAATATGGTTGTCACATTCGTATTCTCCGTTCTGATAATGCTAGAGAAGATGAGTCTGATCCTTTATCCTCTTATCTGCGTAAGACTGACATTATTCATCAAACCTTTGGTGTCAATACTTCTCAGCAGAATGGTGTTGCTGATCGTAAGAATCGACATCTGTTGGAAGTTACTCGTGCATTATTATTTCAAATGCATGTACCTTGTGTTTTTTGGAGCGATGCTATTCTTAAAGCCTGTCACCTTATTAACCGCATGTTGTCGTCTGTGTTAAATGGGCAAAGTCCATACTCTGTCATTGTACCTCATACCTCCTTACCTCCTAAAGTTTTTGAATGTGTTTGTTATGTCTGTAACTTGGGGTTTGGGTTTGATAAACTTGACCTTCGTGCTACCAAGTGTCTTCCTTGGATACTCTCATACACAAAAAAGGTACAGATGTTATAGTCCTACTCTTCGTCGATACTTCACCAGTGCTGATGTCACCTTTAATGAAGAGGTTCCGTATTTTTCGGCTCCTGAACAGCCTTTACATCTTGACTTTGGGCAGTCTACACCACAACCTCTTCCCTTGCCGTCACCTACTCCTCTATCTATTGCATCTCCATCCCCTGCTCCACTTTGTGTATACTCCCGTCGTGTGCAGTCATCAGTTGAAATACCCATGCCAACTTCCTTGTCGTCTCCTAATTTGAGTTTCTCAGGTAATTCTGACTCCTTACTGATTGGTGTTAGGAAAGGTACTCGATCATGTATTACTAATCATCTCATTGATAATTTTGTTTCTTATGATGCCTTGTCACCTGTTTTTTTCTACTTCACCAAACATCTCTCTGCTATCTCTATTCCTAAGACTCTACAAGGTGCCTTGTCTCATCCGGGTTGGAGAAATACCATGGAAGTTGAAATGGATGCCTTGCATCAAAATGGGACTTGGATCTTGTTCTCTTACCGCCTGAAAAATGGACGGGTGGTTGTCGATAGATATACACAATTAAGTTTAATCTAGATAATTCTGTTGAGCATCTCAAAGCTCAACTTGTTGCTAAGGGATTCACTCAAACATATGATATTGATTATGCGGAAACATTTTATCTTGTTGCCAAAATCTCATCTATGCGTGTTTTAATTTTTTTGGCTACTATCCTTTATTGGCCTTTGTTTCAATTTGATGTCAAGAATGCATTCTTGTATGATAACTTAGCTGAAGAAGTCTACATGGAGCAGCCACCTGGGTTTACTGCTCAGAAAGAATATCGTAGCAGTGTGTGTCAACTGAATAAATCTTTGTATGGTTTGAAGCAATCACCAAGAGCATGGTTTAATAAATTTTCAGATGCATTATTAAAGTTTGGTCTTCTTCGATGTCAAATAGATCATTCTATTTTTCACAGACAAACAGATGTTGGGTACACTCTATTGGTGGTTTATGTTGATGTTATTGTAATCACTTGTAATGATTTTGAGGGTATTACTAAGTTAAAAGTATTTCTGTTAGACAAATTTCATACGAAGGATCTGAGAAAACTTAGATACTTCTTAGGTATTAAAGTTGTCAGATCTAAGCAGGATATCTGTCTATCTCAAATGAAATATGTACTTGACATGCTAAAAGAGACAGATTTACAAGGTAGTAGACTAGTTGATGCTTCTATAGATCCAAATCAGAAGTTGTTAATGGATGATGGTGCTCTATTTGATAACCCAAGTCGAAATCGCTGGTTAGTTGGGAAGCTTAATTATCTCACTATTACCCTACCAGATATTGTATATGAAGTTAGTACAGTAAGTCAGTTTATGGGATGTCCTAGAGTACCACATTGAGATGCAGTCATTCGTATTCTTCAATATCTCAAAAGTGCTCCTGGTCTTGGATTATTATATCGAACTAATGAACATCTTCAAGTGGAAGATTTTTCAGATGCTGATTGGGCTAGTTCTCCATCTGATCGGCAATCAACTATANCACCGTATTTCCTTTCAGTCTAAAGTCAATAACCGTGTATCGAGTCCATTTGCTTTGATTCATTCTGATGTATGAAGCCCAATAAAGAATATTTTATCTAATAAATTTTCTTATTTTGTGTCATTTGTAAATGATTATTCTCGTATGACTTGATTATTTCTTATGAAAACCCGTTCTAAGTTATACTCTATATTTGAGACCTTTCGTGAAGAAGTAAAAATACAATATGGTTGTCACATTCGTATTCTCCGTTCTGATAATGCTAGAGAAGATGAGTCTGATCCTTTATCCTCTTATCTGCGTAAGACTGACATTATTCATCAAACCTTTGGTGTCAATACTTCTCAGCAGAATGGTGTTGCTGATCGTAAGAATCGACATCTGTTGGAAGTTACTCGTGCATTATTATTTCAAATGCATGTACCTTGTGTTTTTTGGAGCGATGCTATTCTTAAAGCCTGTCACCTTATTAACCGCATGTTGTCGTCTGTGTTAAATGGGCAAAGTTCATACTCTGTCATTGTACCTCATACCTCCTTACCTCCTAAAGTTTTTGAATGTGTTTGTTATGTCTGTAACTTGGGGTTTGGGTTTGATAAACTTGACCTTCGTGCTACCAAGTGTCTTCCTTGGATACTCTCATACACAAAAAAGGTACAGATGTTATAGTCCTACTCTTCGTCGATACTTCACCAGTGCTGATGTCACCTTTAATGAAGAGGTTCCGTATTTTTCGGCTCCTGAACAGCCTTTACATCTTGACTTTGGGCAGTCTACACCACAACCTCTTCCCTTGCCGTCACCTACTCCTCTATCTATTGCATCTCCATCCCCTGCTCCACTCTGTGTATACTCCCGTCGTGTGCAGTCATCAGTTGAAATACCCATGCCAACTTCCTTGCCGTCTCCTAATTTGAGTTTCTCAGGTAATTCTGACTCCTTACTGATTGGTGTTAGGAAAGGTACTCGATCATGTATTACTAATCATCTCATTGATAATTTTGTTTCTTATGATGCCTTGTCACCTGCTTTTTTCTACTTCACCAAACATCTCTCTGCTATCTCTATTCCTAAGACTCTACAAGGTGCCTTGTCTCATCCGGGTTGGAGAAATACCATGGAAGTTGAAATGGATGCCTTGCATCAAAATGGGACTTGGATCTTGTTCTCTTACCGCCAGAAAAATGGACGGGTGGTTGTCGATAGATATACACAATTAAGTTTAATCTAGATAATTCTGTTGAGCATCTCAAAGCTCAACTTGTTGCTAAGGGATTCACTCAAACATATGATATTGATTATGCGGAAACATTTTATCTTGTTGCCAAGATCTCATCTATGCGTGTTTTAATTTTTTTGGCTACTATCCTTTATTGGCCTTTGTTTCAATTTGATGTCAAGAATGCATTCTTGTATGATAACTTAGCTGAAGAAGTCTACATGGAGCAGCCACCTGGGTTTACTGCTCAGAAAGAATATCGTAGCAGTGTGTGTCAACTGAATAAATCTTTGTATGGTTTGAAGCAATCACCAAGAGCATGGTTTAATAAATTTTCAGATGCATTATTAAAGTTTGGTCTTCTTCGATGTCAAATAGATCATTCTATTTTTCACAGACAAACAGATGTTGGGTACACTCTATTGGTGGTTTATGTTGATGTTATTGTAATCACTTGTAATGATTTTGAGGGTATTACTAAGTTAAAAGTATTTCTGTTAGACAAATTTCATACGAAGGATCTGAGAAAACTTAGATACTTCTTAGGTATTAAAGTTGTCAGATCTAAGCAGAGTATCTGTCTATCTCAAATGAAATATGTACTTGACATGCTAAAAGAGACAGATTTACAAGGTAGTAGACTAGTTGATGCTTCTATAGATCCAAATCAGAAGTTGTTAATGGATGATGGTGCTCTATTTGATAACCCAAGTCGAAATCGCTGGTTAGTTGGGAAGCTTAATTATCTCACTATTACCCTACCAGATATTGTATATGAAGTTAGTACAGTAAGTCAGTTTATGGGATGTCCTAGAGTACCACATTGAGATGCAGTCATTCGTATTCTTCAATATCTCAAAAGTGCTCCTGGTCTTGGATTATTATATCGAACTAATGAACATCTTCAAGTGGAAGATTTTTCAGATGCTGATTGGGCTAGTTCTCCATCTGATCGGCAATCAACTATAGGTTATTGCACCTTCTTGGGAGGTAATATTTCATAGAAAAGTAACAAACAGTGGTAGCACGATCTAGTGTTGAGGCTGAGTACAAAACAATAGCACATACGACTAGTGAGTTGACATGATTGTTACACCTTATTCGGGAAATTGGTTTTCCAGTTCAGCAACCATTACAACTGTTCTATAATAATCAAGTAGTCATTCATATTATTGTCAATCCAGTGTTTCATGAGAGAACCAAACATATTGAAGTTGACTGTCATTTTATTCAAGACAAGATACTAAGTGGAGACATTGCAACTTCGTTGTAAGATCTGGGCTCAACTTGCAGACATGTTCACCAAAGCATTGAGTCGTACTCGTCTTGCGAATACTTGTTCCAAACTTAGATTATATGACATCTATAGTTCAGTTTGAGGGGGAATATTGAAAAAGTCACTAAAATATAATTATAATTTACGTTTATTGTAATATGTATATCATACAAAGGGTATACTCATCGTTCATTTCTTTGTTCAATAACTATAAATATAAGAGTAATAGTGAGAGACAAAGTAAGCCAAAACCTCTCTTTTTGCCTCTCATATTGTGTTAAGCTTCCCTCTAAACAAAGACAAAGAAGGAGATATAGTTAATCAGCAACATTATAAGTTTAAAGTGTACTACAAAAAAAAAAATTTAAGTTCCTCATTTTTTACTAGACAATAAGACTCCAGCCACTCATTTGACATTCAATCGTCCTCCTCTTCCATTCGAAATTATTTAATTGCTTGTTTATCTGGTCAATGTTTTCTCAATGGTCAAATTGATTGTAATTGGCAAATTCTATGAGTTCACTTGTACTCGTATCTCAACTAAATCCATAGTCATTATGCTTATAAAGATTGAAGACCAAAACAAGATGTGATAAAGAAGCTCAAACTAAATTGGAACATATGAAGACTTCAAACTTAGGTAAGGCAAAAGATCAAAATACATAATTGTCTGAGTTTGATTTAATTTGGGCGTCAAAATGGATTTAAGTATCTTCAATTGAGAATCTGTAGCATGGCTCTCGCATTAATATAGAAACATGTTTTTGAAAGTTGGAATGTTGGTTTTGGAACAATATAAAGTCATGGTATGGAGGTTTTTTTAGTAATACCCCTTGGTACTCAAAAGGTTGAAGAGAGCATTAGTTTAGGGTTAGAAACTAATAAACACCGCCTTCGAAGCGCTCTAGCGGTTGAAAAAAATAGTGCAAGCGTAAAATCGCAAAACCAGTGATCACCACTCTCTGAGCGCTCAAGTAGTGAACTATTCATGTCTTAGATCAATTTTTCAATTATCACCACTTTCTAATTACTCTATGAGCTATCGAACAGTCTTTCAAGAAAACTAGATAACTTGCTCCCCAATTAATCATTACTTTTCTCACCTCTAACTATGGGATGTATTTCTATGGTTCAAGAGAGTCCCAAGGATTTTCAAAAGCTAGAAAAAAAAGGGCCATAGAAAAGAACCCTAATCTCTAGGTCTTGTAGAACACACAAGACCCACAGAGTTGAAGATCTAAGGAGGATTGCAAGGGGAGAAAAGGAGGCTTCCCAATGTGGATCATGGACTTCGATTCGTGGTCTAGAAGCTGATATTCAAGAAGATAGGGTAGACTCCGAAGTGAAAATTCAAGCTGAAAAAACATCTAGTAATAATATTGGTTGAAGTATAATTCTTTAATCCTTATAATCTTACTTTGAAACTAGTGGATTAGATTGGATTGACTATGATTCCATGCTTTTTCTCAGATGGGTTTCTGCGTGAAATTACTTGTGTTCTAATTGTGATCGTCTCTTCGAGATATCTTCGATGATTCTGCCTTTTTCGTACCCTTCTCCAACATAACTACAACAAGAGCAAAAATAAAAGGGAGAGAGACAGAGGAAAGATGAGGGAAAACACTGAAGAATTGAAAAGAGACGAAAGATTCAACTTACCCGAAGGTCCCAAACCCAGATTTGAGAAGATTCAGCCTCCATGTATGTTCTTCATCCTTTCTCTTCTTTTATTCTGTCTTTTTTCTTCTCAACTTCTTTCGTTCTTGTTTTTGGGTCTTGTAAATCGCATCTCTCTCTCTCTTAGATCTGCAGATTTGGGGGTGGCAAGGCTTGCATAGTTTCCCTACTTCCTATTTCTCTCTCTGTGTCGTTTGTTCTACACTGACAAATTTTTTTCATTTTATTTTATCTCCACTCCCTTTTTTCTTTTTCCCTTTATTCTCTCTCTCTCTCTCTCTCTCTCTCAAACACACACATTGTGTGCCTTTTTTTTTCTTTATTCTTCTTTTCTATATTGTGTGGGCAATTTTATATTGTTTAATACAATTGTCATATTCAACATATTGCATTTTTATTAAATATCTGTAATTAACTATATGATGTAATTTGCATATTGAAATAATCCTAATACAATAATTATAAATTTTAATGAAATAATAATAATTAGTAATCGAATAACTAATAGCATTCACATAATAAATTTTTATAAGTTATACAAGATTAATAAAAATTTGTAATACCTGTCTTACTTTAATTTGAAGTACAGATATGGTTTTGATAAAAAAAAAAAAAGTATGGATATAATGTATTTGGTTATGTGATGTAACTATTGTAAAAATGTAAATGTGTTTGCTTCGTTAAAATGAAGGGTGTGTTTAGATTATATTTGCAAAAGAACTTTCCTTTCTCGTATACTAAAACAAGTAGAAACCTTTTGGTTAGACTTCTCTTCATAAATTTCTGAAAAACAATACAAGCAATGGGGCTATTTTTGAAAACAGCTAATGATGTTCTCCACGTTTTCACCAAAAAAAAAAAAAAATGAGACGTATTTTCAAAATTGGCAAAACACAGAGGTCTGGTTACTACGCTAATGCCCTAGCATAAAAGCCACTTTCTCTCTTCTAATTTTTTTCTTGCTTCTCCATAGAGCTCTAGTTGAGCTTTCGAACGGCCCTATCTACAACAACTGTGTAGATCAGCTCCTTCAACCTCAACCATCCGGTGAGAAGGGGTCCGAAACCAGTCACAAACATTATGGAGATTCAATCATGAATCAAACGAAAACGAACCAGATTTTTCAGAATTTCCTATAGCAAGGTATGTAAAGCACATATCAGTTACTTATTCAACTTTTATGGTAGACCCATGAACGTTTTTCATGTTTTTGGGTAGATTTGAGTTTCGATCTGTGACCTGAATACGTGAACTGTTGTGATATGTTTCTCTTACATGAGATCTGGCGTTAACATCACATATACAAACTAATAACTTCAGAAATTCATGGATTTATTGGTTAGATGTCAGATTTGTGGGTTTAGTGAGTAAACTTTCAAATTTGTTTTTCAGATTCATGTGTTCATATGTTAGATATCAAATTTTTGAGTTTTGAGGATTTTTTAGATTTGTTCATATTAAAAAATGTGGGTGGCTTTGCTCTTTGTTTTCACTCCCTGTACCAGATTGTTGCCCATAGCTTTATTCAACAAATATGAAATTTACCTATATACTTTTGATGAATCAAAAAATTTTAAACCTTATCAAACCATAATTTTTGGATCATCAACTTCAAGTTTATTCTAAACATTACTCATAATACAACTGGATACAGTCCACATGCTAAGTTGATGTCTAATGTATGTTCAATCTCATGCAGTCAAGGTCCTCAATCCTTTCACACAAATTATTCTCCTTGCACATAGATGGTAGATCACTGTTGCTGCATAAAGTCACTTGTAGTGTACATCTGANGAGTTTCGATCTGTGACCTGAATACGTGAACTGTTGTGATATGTTTCTCTTACATGAGATCTGGCGTTAACATCACCTATACAAACTAATAACTTCAGAAATTCATGGATTTATTGGTTAGATGTCAGATTTGTGGGTTTAGTGAGTAAACTTTCAAATTTGTTTTTCAGATTCATGTGTTCATATGTTAGATATCAAATTTTTGAGTTTTGAGGATTTTTTAGATTTGTTCATATTAAAAAATGTGGGTGGCTTTGCTCTTTGTTTTCACTCCCTGTACCAGATTGTTGCCCATAGCTTTATTCAACAAATATGAAATTTACCTATATACTTTTGATGAATCAAAAAATTTTAAACCTTATCAAACCATAATTTTTGGATCATCAACTTCAAGTTTATTCTAAACATTACTCATAATACAACTGGATACAGTCCACATGCTAAGTTGATGTCTAATGTATGTTCAATCTCATGCAGTCAAGGTCCTCAATCCTTTCACACAAATTATTCTCCTTGCACATAGATGGTAGATCACTGTTGCTGCATAAAGTCACTTGTAGTGTACATCTGATGGAAAACCAGTGGGGTGCTAATTGCTTGGCTAGGATAGTGTTGCATATGTACATAAGAAGTTTGCACTATTCTAGTGTAGCTAGGGACAATCCTACTACTTTTTTTTTTTTTCTAGATGTCGTCAAAAGGTGGAAAGCCCAAAGAAGTGGTCCAGTGGTTGCCGAAGGTCGAGGAGGCCTTCGTTAGAGGAGGAATTATTGCATGGTAGTGCAAGTCAGAAGTAATCCTTTGCTAATGTTGATGGTGGGGATGATTCTGATGGCCCATCTGAGCAACCCCCAAAAAAGAACATGCGCACTTCATTTCACGAGACTCATATTATGGACAGTAAGAGCTCGAAAAAAGACGGTATGATTGAGGCATGGATGTAACATAACTCTAGTCTGATTGAATTTGTATAGTTTGATGGTACTGTATGGGCATGGATGCCAAATTATGACTTATTGCATGGTTTGATGGTACTTTGTGGGCATAGATGCCCAATTATGACTAATTTTATGGCTTCATGGTACTATGTGGGTATGGATGCCCAATTATGACTTATTGTATGGTTTGATGGCACCTTGTGGGCATGGATGCCCAATTATGACTTATTTTATGGTTTGATAGTACTATGTGGGCATGGATGCCAAATTATGACTAATTCTATGGTTTAATTAGTAATTCTACGACAATCTAGTTCAGTTTTATTTAGTAAATGTAGTGTTATTCAACCAAAGACATTCATCATTGAGAAATCTCATTGGGAGGTGGTTTGGAGCATTGAAAGCAAGATTCCTGACAATTAGGACAATGATAAAATACAAACCAGCACGTCACCCTACCATTGTGACATGTACTTTGGATTAATTGTAGATCAAATTCCGTAAGTTTTAGAAAAATGAAAATTGTATTATATGAAACAGTCAATCCAAACAACATATCATATTTTCATTATTTTATGGGGTTACTATCAGTATTTATCGTCTTATGTTCCTTAAATCTGTTTTTAAAAACATATAACAAAACAAGTTTTGCAACAAAAAAATACCAAATCACACTTTCTTAAATTTTTTCCAAAAACATATTTTTTAATACTGTTTTTTGAGATACAATCCAAATACAACCAAAGTTTTTGACATTAATTGAAGTGGCTTCCGCCTGATACTAACCCTTTTTTCTTCTTCAACTTAATGTTATCTAGTATAAATAGATGTTAAGCCAATAAGCATACGCAAAATCAATCAATTATTAAGCTTATCTACCTAAATAAAGAAATTTTACTTACGTTTCCACTAGTTTCTATATTTTTTTTTTGTTTCTTCAGCTTTTTCGAAACGTTTTCGTTTCCAAACAAGTCGAAACAATACACCAAAACGATATTTCGATACTTGAATTCATGCAATGCATCTCATGGCTAGGACATTGCATGGTACATATTTTTCATTTTTTGTTTTCACTTGTTTTTATTCATCAAAAACACAAAATAAATAAATAAATAACAAAATAACAAAAAACCCAAAAAAAAATTTACTCTTAGGATTGAGTTTTTAGATGTCTAGGATTTTTTTTCCTCTTTGTTTCATTTTTTCTTGTTTATTCCATTAGTTAGATGCATTTTTTATATTTTTATTCGTTATTTGAAAAAAAAAAACGAAAAGAAAAGGACAAAAAGATTATCCATTGTTGACATGGGCATCACATGTAAACTTGGATTCTCTTGGATTTAATCTCAAATTAAAGTTTAGTGTTACTATAAGATATATCTTGGGATAGAGAACTTAGTAATTGTGTTTCAATGAATATGATTCGAATCTAAGTCTATTCACATGCACATAGTTGGATAATGCAAACAATTGGAAGATTTATTGAACTCCGTGCACTATAGCTTTCATCTTCTGGGCTTTATAATCTTGCTAGTTTTTTATTTTATTGTTTTACATGATTCTAGAGCTTGTATGATAATATATCTTGAAAAGATGCCCCAAATGACAAAATTGTGAAAAAAAATCATAACTTGACAAATTACAAAAGTAGCCTCATTTGGCAAAATTGCACAAGGAAATAATATTTATGTACAAACAAAAGTGAGGCACTCAAAATAAAATGTTGTAATAATTAATGAAACATGGTTGTTAGGACTACAGCTTGTGCTGAATGTATAAAACCTCAAATTCCAATAATCAAAGAGCTACAAATGTAATTCTTGGAAACTACAACCCAAGAAAGTGAGTAGAAGGGATGTAAAATTCAAGGGGGGTGTCGAAAACAAAAAGCAAGATCAAAATAGAGCACTCTCTAACCGGTCTTGTCTTAGCCAATAGGATATGTTTAAGAATCCGTGTCGACGTACCTTAACTTCTTAATCGATTCCGGAGGGCATCAAACAATTTACACATATCAATTGATGTGTTTGCAAAGTTTAAATATATGTGAATGAACATATGTGATGGACTATGATCTGGAAAGTACTCTAGTGTCGCATGATTATTGAGATTTCCATCCTTTTATATGCCTTAGAGTGACTTATCGGACGATGAAATAATATTGAACTTGAGTTTTGAGAATTTTAAGGTGATTTTCATTTTTTTAATCTCAAATTCGTTCCATTTAGATCGCATTTCATTCATGTATGAGCTTAAAATTGATACATTTGTAAACCATACATTCATACATGCATTTGACGGTTGAGAATAGGCAAATAAGTGTCAAAAGAGTGAGGATTTGGGTTGCATAGTAGTAGGGACCACTGGCTAATCCTTGGCCTTCAAAAACATCGTAACCGCTCGAGCAGTCCCCCTAACGCACGAGCACTCACAGCTGGGAAAGCGGACAGTCTTTAAATTTGATATTTCACTTCCAAACTCCTTCCTAACTTCTTCAACTCCGGAAAATCTCCTCTCTCACACTTGCATCATCTTAGATCTCCACTTTGAACTGTTTAAATCCATTTTTGTTCTGATTAGGTGATTACCCATCGAGTTTAGATCACTATCACTGATTGGTTTATGATACAATGGCCCTGAAAGGTGCAAAGAGGAATGCCCCAGGCTCTGCTGGTAACAAATTTTGTACCCCGGATCACAGAGCTTCATTCTTTGGACTACGTACAGTCCTAGCGGAGAGCCATGCACAGGGAGACGATATGCACGACACTTCATACCCCGTATTGTCGATACCCGTAGATGGAAACAGGTATTGACCAAGCTGGATATTGCCAACATCGAGATGGCCCGTGAGTTTTGCACTCATATTGATGAGGTTTGGCAAGGTTGCAAGAGTTTCTGACCTACGTCCAAGGTATTTTCATCGAGTTCTCCTCTAAGACCACTGCACATATATTAGGACTCCCTAGAGTGCTTTCAGGACTAGGCTCGTGTTTCATTTACCAGCATTGCACTGTGGCTACTAAGATTTTTGGAGCGCCACGTGACGAGGGATGGATCACATAGACATTCTATCAAAAAGATCTACCTCGGGAGTATAGACTCCTAAATATGATAGTGGGTGCAAACATTGACCCCAACTTTCACATTAGCAACTTTCCGACTACACGAGCACACTTGCTCTACACTACAAGACCCCGCGTTATATCACCAAATATCAATTGGATTTGATAAAGTGTCCAAGTTCGCAGATTTATCTGATGAAGCATATTCTGAAGCCGCGTGCCAAAGAATATGAATATAAGAAAGTTGTTTCAAGTCTGGAACAAATTCATCAACGGAGTAGGAACCCATCGTCACTTGTTATGGACCTGGCAGCAGGTGTCCTAATCAGTCTTTTTAAGGATATCAAGAAAACCTTTGACCTATGGGCATGGTCTCTTAGCCACCAGCGACCGTACTTACGTAAAAGCACCATTGGGCGATGCTGCCTCTCCTTCCTCTTTTGATTTATTAACCTCAGAAAAAACAATTGTAGGAAAAAGTTGAGAGAACTTGATACTACTTTTGGGCAGCGCTATCATTTCAGAGTAATAAAATGAGTAATGGACTTCCATTCGAGAGTTCTACTACTAGAATATGTCAGAAGAACGAAGTCTGGCTAGCCTCTACAATCAGATCACATGTTGTAACCCGAGGATCCCATTGGTAGTTCTTCGAATAACTCTTAAGAGTATTTCACATGCTCGCATTCTGTTTTCACCCACCTCGAGTGAAGGGACAAAGAACAGAGATGCAACAGGACCACTTAGGATATAGCACCACCTCCACCTTTAGGTAGCACTGTCACTCCACCACCTACTCCGACCGACTCACGTCCAAGTACTTCTACAGCACTGACACCTACATTCCAAACAGTTGAGGTTGTAGGGATGTTTAGGGATATTGCTAGGAGGATGGATGAGCATCAAAGAGATACTCATTTGTGGCTTGAACGACTAGAGGATTTTGTGTAAAGGTTGGCTTCCAAGGTTGATATCTTCAACCGGGTTCAGAGACAGGTTGGTATAGTCACTACTCGAGAGCTGACACGAATGAGATACATGATCAATAGTCTTCCTTTCGTCCATCGAATGACATCATTGGAGAGGAATGTGCCCAAAAGAAAAACGAGTAGGAGACAGAGAAAGAGAAGGAGGAATAGGAGGAAGCAAAAGGGAAGGAGAAGGGAAAAAAGAAGCAGAATGGTGATGGAGATCGATAATCTAAGAGAGTATCTATGAGGGGATGCACCTGCCTGCTAGGATATGAAGATTTAGGGTCTCATGTGGTTTGGAGTGTTTTAGACATATGAGTGATCCCTGCCTATGTAATCTTTTTCACTTTGTTATATATATCATGATCGCATTCGGCTTCATTATCTATTTAGCTTAGATCTTGACTTTGATTGCAATGTTCTAATGGTTTATCTGTCATTTTCTTTCCTTTTTGACATCACTTTGGCACTTCGTGAGAAAAAGGGAGGCGAGAAGAAAAATTGGAGTTGACTTGGCATGTTTTGTTTATGTTTTCTTTATCAAATTTCACCAGTTATGTTTTCTTTGTTGATTTTACTTATTATTTTTTCTTTGCTGCTTGGACAGCACTAGCTAAGAGGAAAACTAGATTAGTTGGATTTAATTGTTGTATCTAGTGGTTCTTGAACATAAGTATGTTTGAAATTGTTATACTTCTTTGTATATTGCTCACATTTTGCATATTACTCAAATACATGTGACTTATCGCTCTAGTGTTTTGTTGATTATTCGCTAACACTTACTATGATTATGATGTATATTTGATATACTCAGCAAGTTTCACGATATATTTTGTTTAGTAGTTATATGAGGGAATCTCACCTTGCAACTTGAACAATTTAAACTTTTCCACTTTGTACCCTCAAAGATGAAATTTATCACATTGCACTCTCAATGTATTGAAAGTATTTCAATGTGACCCATCCGTTACTTTTCGTTGCTCATCCCATTAAAACCCACCACCATTCAAGGATCAAAATTTCATTTCAGTGCATTGTTTTGGTCACCTATAAAATGGAAATGTTTCGGTCACCTAGAAAATGGAAATGTTTCGGTCACCTAGAAAGTGGAAATGTTTCGACATGTTTCGAAAATATTTCAACTTGTTTCTAAAACATAATGAAAAAATAAATAATTTAAGAACTATTTTTCCAAAATATTGGTCGAAATATACTAAAGTATCTTGAAATAGCTTGAAATATTCTGAAATAATTATCCAAATGCATTGAAACATTAAAAAACACCTCAAAATATTAGAATTTCAATTTTATTATTGATTCGTTTCGATCTCCTTAAAAACGGAAACGTTTTGGACATTTCAACTGTTTCAAAACAAAATTTTGATCCTTGTCCCTATTACAGTTGACGGAATGGGTAACGGAAACTAACGAAAGGATCACATTACAATATTTTTAATACGTTAAGGGTGAATTGTGGAAAATCTAATCTTTGAAGGTACAAAGTGAGAATTCTTGAATCTTTGAGGGTGTCAAATGCAATTCGGCCTAGTTATTTTGCAGTACTATGTTAATTCAGAGTACAAATCATGAAGATTAGTTCAACAATTAGGACGAGATTGAATGACTTGTACTTGAGTGCAGATGTTAGGATTATAATTTGTTGTTTTGTCTTAAGGTTTATCAACTTATAATCTTCTAATTTCTTAATCTTGCATGTTTGGTCACAAATTATCAAATGAGGAGATTGATAGAGAATTGGTTGTGATGCTTAAGAACATTGACGATCAAATCTAGAGGTGATGAAGTAACTCAAGCTACACTGTAACATGTAAGACTTCTTAAAATCTATCAAGCTTGGTAAAGACTTAGATACCTAGTTGCCTTAATTTTTTAACTTAGGTGTTATAACTCTCATATTAATATAGAAAAACATTTTTCAAACTTGGAGGATTGGTTTTTGAAACAATATAAGTCATGGTATGGAGGCTTTTTAAGAAATTCCACATGGTACTCGAAAGGTTGAAGAGAGCATTAGTTTTAAGTGAAAAACCAGTAAACACCACTCTCTAACTACTCTAGCGGTTGAGGAAAATATTATAACCTTCAAAATTGGAAAACCAATGATCACTACTCTCTAAGCGCTTGAGCAATCGGCCGTTCATGACGAGAGCAATTTTCCATTAATCAACACTCTCCAACTCTCTCTAAGCCTTTGAGTGGTCTTTTGGGAAAACTAGATAACTTGCTCCAAATTAATCTCTACTTTCCACACCTATAAATATTTGACGTTTTTCTACGACTCGAGTGATCAAGGGTTTTCAAAGTGCTAGAAAAGCAAAAAAATGACATAGAAAAGACTCTAGCCTCCCATAGCAAAACCTCAATATCTTCTCCACTTGATCAATCTAGAGCAATTTCAAGAATTCAATCAATAGCTTGACCGAGATTTGTAGAACACTCAAAACCCAAATAGTTGAAGATCTAAGGAGGATTACAATGATCAAAGCAAGATTCCAAGAGAAGAAGAGGATGACTACAAAGGCAGACGTGGACTTTGATTCATAGCCTAGAAGCTAGTGTTCAAGGGATTCGGTGGACCCCAGAGTGACGATTCAAGTTGAGAAAGCATCTAACCATAGTATTGATTGAAGAATAAGTCTTTAATCCTCGTAATCTTACTTTGAAACTAATGGATTAGATTAGGCAGACCATGGTCCTGTAATTTTTCACGCATGGGTTTCTAGTCCACATAAAATTGCTTGTGTTGTATTTTGATTATCTCTTCCATATCTCTCTACATGCAATTTTACACGACTCACATCTTTGACATAATGCTTGAATAAGAATCTCCTTGTGGGTGTTAGTTTAAAAGTGGGGATTTGAGTTCAGTTCCCCAATTGACTGGGTGTTTGAGATAATTTGGGGGCTTACATATTAATTAGTAATTGAAGTGAATTAGTCTTAATTAGGCATTTAATTCCCCATTGAGTCCTAAGACCTATTCAACCCCCCCCCCCCTTTTTTTTACTAGGTCAAGTATACTTCTAAGCATAGCGTTCAACGTACAATCCATTTGCACTCTCAAAAAATTAGCAATGAACATATAAATTGTTTTCCTCTTTTTATTTTTTTGATGGGGTGTCAAGATTAAAATGTATGTAGAATCAGCATATAAGATCATGGTTTTTAGTATGTTATGACACACAATACGATACATATAATACGTTTTGATATAGGAGTGTGAAACGTTTTACAAAGTATCTTACCGATACACAATACATATTGTACAATACTATTAGATACATTTTACATTACACTACACATTACTGGTTTAAAAAGTACAAAATAATAAAAACATTATCTTTATATTGGTCCTAGAAATATTTTGTCAAATAACAAAAATAAAGAAAAAATAATGAAGACAATGAAAGCATACAAAAGGTTAAAAAAGATAGAGATGCAGAAATGTAATTATAAATATTGATGTCGTTAAAATTGAAATTGAAATTGAAGATTAAGATAAAAATGTGATTCATAAGACTATAAGAATGATTTTTTTGGATTTTGCTAATCTTTAAATTTTGATATTGATGAATTTTGTTATAAACTTTAATTGCTAAAATTTGTTTGGAACTATGTTATGAATATTATGAACTATATTATGAATTATGAAAATTTGTTTGCTAAAATTTAAGTTGAAATATTATTTATATCGTTTTAGAACTATATATATATACTAGTTATTGTCCGTACCTGAAGGCACTATGTTATTTATAAAATTTCAACACACAACGATAGGATATTTGAATAATTTCAATACATAGCGATTAAATTAGTTTTGAACATTTTTTATTGGTGCAATTAGTATCTTATTTTTTTTGTATTGGTCACCTATTTTTTTTTAATTGCTGATTAGCTTGGGCTTTAAATTTTTTTTTTATTTTCTGAGAACTATAGTTTTTCATACAGTAGTGATTTATTTTTGGTATGAATAATAAATTGATGATTTTATTTATGGATTATAAAGATAATTTAAATTTTATTGATTGATAAGAAGTAATAAGTAAACATCAACCACCGTTACTAAGATGTGTGATAAGAAGATCTACTTACGGTGTATTCTAGGTGTGAATCAGTTTGTAATAAGAATGATGAAAAATTATATAGTAAGTATATAATAGTTTTTAATGAAATATTATACCAAAAGTTTTGAAAAAATCTATAAACCAAATAACTTACATGTCAAAAAATGGTGACATTGTCCAATTGGGTACTGGTTTTTGTGTTGTAGTGATGGTGTGTATGAAGTTATTGGGGTCAAATGTAAATTGGCAAACCTTGAAAAAAGAAGCACTAAACTTAGAGATATTATGTATTTTATGTGTGTTTAATAGAAATATTTTTAATTTTATGCAAAGTTTTATCGTAAAATTAGAAATTAAACAAAATCAACCTAAATCAAGGTACAAACAATACACTTTTAACATATAACATTTAACAACAATTAGTTAATAACAATATATCCACAATTAAACCACACGAATATTAAAAATTAAAAACAACAAACTATTGTCAAAGCATACACTACTAAACCAACACAAAAAAATAATCAATATGTTAAACTTTTTCTAATTGCACAGTTATAAAAATTAAACATAAAATATTTGATAACTACCCAGTTATAAAAATTGAACAAAAAATATAATCAACATGAAATAATGAGATGCTTTGTCATTAATAAAATTTGTAATAGATATTCTTTTAACTAATCATTTATGGCAATCAACAATATGTTTTGTTCACTTTTAATAAAAATTAAAATTTTGAGCACTATAAGTTTTCATATAATTCTGTGCAAAGTGGTGATTAGGTATGAATAATAGTTCAAAGGTTTTACTTATGTGTTGGATATTTGTATTTTTTGTTTGTGTGAAAGTGGTGATAACAATTAGATTGATTTTGAAATTTTTTTGTGCAATT